ATTTGATGTAGCTGTTTAGAATATTTAACAATAATCTCAGAGTGGTGTATACAAATGTGGATGATAGTACCCTGACCATCTTGACTTACAACACCTCAAGGAAAGGCGTCAGTGCTGTCGGCACTTGTTGTTTGCTGAGAGGGAACATTCTGTACATACTTTACTCATGTTTGTGGAGCTCAGCATGTAATTTTTCTTTGTGTACCTGGTTGAATACACGCCAGTGCAACACAGCATAACATCATCCAAAGTGCAGCTGACCTCCTGGCGTTGTTGTCCTAAGTCTCTTCCCAGGATTTATGTTGTTTAATGTAGAATCTCTTTCTTCTAATAAGGCTATGCTTTATTCTCACCACTATTTGTATGTGAAACAAGCTATGTTAACATCTTAAATATTTGGGATTTATATAATCTTGTTTATTTTATGTAAGGTCCCAATTTTGAAAAATCATATTCTTTTATTATTTTTTTGCAGTATTTTATTGTTTAATTGCCAAGTTATATTCGGTCTTTATTGCTCAATTAAACCTTTTCATTCATGAGTTGTTCCATTTCATGTCAACCTCTATTTGTGTCTCTATTATGTATCTATGAGGCCTTATTAAATCTCAATAAAAATCAGGTTATAAAGTTTTATCTTTTCTTAACATATATAATTTTCATGATGTCTCCTTATAAGGCAAAATTTATACAACTTTATGATGACTGTAGTTGAATGGTAGTTTGGCCTCTAAAATCTTTATACTTGCCATGGTATAACTGGAATATACTGTGGTGTTATAACTGATCTCCGTCACTCACTTCTTTGGTAGATATTGCTTATAACCGTAAGAGGTTAGTCTAGACTTGCTTCATTTAGATAGGGCATTACAGGTAGGGCTGGGCTAAAGGGAAAATAATATGGTTGAGGGGCTTGCAGACTAACTAGGTATTATAATGTGTTTCTTGATTCCAGTCTTTCATGGACATAGAATTTCATGGGTATGACTCCTTCATTGTGAACAAATATTTCATATGCTTGACTGGCATTTTAGAAGATGCTATTTGATGAACATATAGATTTTTCTGGGTTACATCCTCTTTTTATTCTTGAGTACAACGTTTCAGGGCTTGTTCTGGCCCCATCATCAGGTAAAACTGAACAGTAACTGTTAACTCTGCCTGTGACGTCACAATGCTTATGACGTCACAATGCTATGACGCAATATTATGTCATCATAGCATTGTGTCGTATTTTTTCAAGATTAAGAAAAAAAATAAAAGTTAATTTTCCCTGCTCAAAAAATAAAATCCCAATGTTTTTATTGGCCAAAAATGTAAACTTACAAGAAAGTGTTTTTTAGATTTCATTTTGCCCCATATTCACTTCATAAATTGTCAAAAGTAAAATACTTTTAGTATTTAAAAGGAATATTACTTTGACTGGTGATTTTTTTTTTCCCTCCTGCCTTTAGGTTTTCTGAGGACAAAAATCCGTAAAACAAAAATAAAATTTGTCTGGCCTTACCTGTATTGTGGAGGTAATGGCAGGTAGCACAGATAATCAGTTTATTAAGATGCGGATATAAAGGTGATCTGTCCTTCCAACTTCTTGAGTGAGTGAGTGAATAAGTATGGTTTTATTCCGCTTTTAGCATTATTCTAGTAATATCATGGTAAACCAGAATGGACTTCACACATTGTATTCATGTGGGGAATTGAACCCAAGTCTTTAGTGTGACGAGCAGATGCTTTAACCATTAGGCTACCCCACAACATCCCATTCTTGAGGAAAGCCTCTTTGGTGATGGTTAGCTATAAAACCAGTATAAGTATGGACTAATACAAGCAGCCACACAAATGCATGCACAGTATTACAGAAGAATGTTTTAACATGATGTGGAACCCCCTTTTGTTTGTATACATTCCATTAATTGGTCAGTTTAAGTCATTTGCATATCTTAAATTTTACCTCAAGCCCAAATCCTTGTGAACTAGCCCAAACTCTGCTCCAATCATCATTTTCTGTACATTCTAGATTGAGTATTAGAAGTAGTATTAGTTCCACACGTACACAAATAACAGTTATGCTACACACAAGGAAAATACATTTTTACTTTATTCTGTGTTACGTGTAATGCGGGGGGATCATCCATGGGCCCTAAGACCCACATTATGGCGAGGGATGACTGTATTTACTAGACTGAACAGATTGAATCTAGACTCTGGATTATGTGTCTCTACTCATTATCAAGTTTTCTTAAACTGAGAGGTCAAAGCACTACTCAGTGGATTCGCATGCACTCAGATTTCATTCTCAACTCCCTGGGGTACTTTCTTCAGTTGTCTCCTGGGCTGTGATGCTGAAATTATAATGCTGAACAGGATGAATGTAGGAAAGAAAGTCACAATGCAATAATATATATACTAGTAACATAATATATACTAGTGGGTTGTAAAATATCTCAATTGTTATAACAGCTTCTGTTTCTGACATAATTAATGATGTAATTGGGACGTGAAACCAAGAGTGGGCGAGGCCACTGATCAGTGAATGGGGGTCACTCTGTTAATTAAGTAATCAGAGTTGTCTACTGTACGGTACTGTACTGTATGCTGGCGATTAGGTGCCTGACTCTGGGGGTGTGGGTTCGAATCTTGGATGGGATTCAACCCAACAAAAGTGCTAGAATTTGTACTTTACTAAGAAAGTGTAATCACAAAATATAACCTATGTTACAAGTGTATATAATTCTGTTTCCTTCTCCAACTAACATGAGAAGGAAGAAACTTGGTATATCATTGTTTGGCCGTGCCCTTTCCCATTTGCATCATGGATTTTTTATTAAGAGCAACAGTATTTGAAAATAGTATTTGAAGGACACATGTACAGTAAGCACGTAAGTCTGTGATTTATGGTCATAATTAAACTTATCACACTGATAATAAACAGTTATTGTGACAGCATATGTCCCGACATAAGAGTGACAGGATTAATCTGGATTATGTGGGAAGGGTATCCAAGTTCAGATTTTGCAATTTTGAAAGAAACAACCAATTCCTTTTAGATTGAAAAGGAGTCTCAGTGAGAAGGGAGAATCAGAGCCGGAGGACATCTAGCCTTACTTCATTTAGACTTTAGCATTGCAGAAAGGGTGAGGCAGATGGGATTATCATGCAGTTAAGGGAGTGTGAGACTAACTAGCCCTTCCATAGAAGTGGAAAGAAATAGAGTCAAAATGAAAAAACACAGGGTTTTTATTAAGTGATTTCTTTGTCTTCTTTTCTTGGAACACAGGACTTAAGTGCTTGGGTCATTAATTGTGAAACAGCATAATTTATAGTGGACAAGTTGTCCTTTTATTGAAAGATTTAATTAGGAGGATGACAGCAAAATTTCAGTGAAAAATGACAAATTGGCAACAAGATTAATGAGAATGTGTAGGAATAAAACATGATATTCAGTGTATTCACCCACTTTAGTGTCTTATTGTGGAGTGGGATATGTGTTCAAATATAGTTTAACACAGTTTTAACCAATATTTTAGCAATATCATAGCAGAGGAGACAAGATATAAACCTAACACTGTGTAAATGTGTTTGGAATCGAAACCTGGGTCTTGATTAACTGTAGCATGATAATGGACCATTGTACTGTTCAGCAGCAGTCGTGAGCAGAAAGTAGATGAGAATTCTGTTAAACCTGTATCTGTAAATTGAGATGAGCACCACATGCATTGAAACCGTTACACATGCTCGCAACCAGCAACCAAGGAAGCTAATCATGGATGTTGCACGCTGCCTGATACAGATTGATTGTTGTATGACATGCGATGCATATAAAGTTAATGAAATGGCTGTTTTTACAGTGTTCACAGATTAAGTCAAAGGACTTCTCTCGTATGCCCATGGTTAATGTGGGAATTTCTTTGAAAAGTAATCTTGAATAACATGGTTAGAGTAAATTGAATGATGACTGTGCGGTGTGCTATCTGCAGAGTTTCTAATCTGTTTCATCTTCTAGGCCATTAGTGTTATTCAAAATGTCATAAAGATTCTTTAACAATTTGTTGATGAAAATGGAAAATGTTCATTCAAAGTGTCTTGATGACATATGCCTCCAGGACAGGGCTGCAAATAAAATATCAGCACAAGAGATTACCATGTCAAAATATAAACAACAGAGGAACAAATCAAAGTATAAACAACAGAGGAACATATCAAAGTATAAACAACAGAGGGACATATCACAGTATAAACAACAGAGGAACATATCAAAGTATAAACAACAGAGGAACATATCAAAGTATAAACAACAGAGGAACAAATCAAAGTATAAACAACAGAGGAACATATCAAAGTATAAACAACAGAGGGACATATCAAAGTATAAACAACAGAGGAACATATCAAAGTATAAACAACAGAGGGAACATATCAAAGTATAAACAACAGAGGAACATATCAAAGTATAAACAACAGAGGGACATATCAAAGTATAAACAACAGAGGAACATATCAAAGTATAAACAACAGAGGGACATATCAAAGTACATATCAAAGTATAAACAACAGAGGAACATATCAAAGTATAAACAACAGAGGAACATATCAAAGTATAAACAACAGAGGGACATATCAAAATATAAACAACAGAGGAATATATCAAAGTATAAACAACAGAGGAACATATCAAAGTATAAACAACAGAGGAACATATATCAGTATAAACAACAAAGGGACATATCAAAGTATAAACAACAGAGGGACATATCAAAATATAAACAACAGAGGGACATATAAAAGTATAAATAACAGAGGGACATATCAAAATATAAACAACAGAGGAACAAATCAAAGTATAAACAACAGAGGAACATATCAAAGTATAAACAACAGAGGAACATATATGTCCCAATGAAGCTAAGATAGATCATACGTTGCTGTAATATATACATGGACTATTGTTAACGGCAGTGTAAACCCACAAACAGAACACTGAATTTGTTGACTGTTTCCAGGCCCCGTGCCCTGACATGTACAGAGGGAAGTACCGAGACAACACCCCCAACCCAGAGGTGGCCTACGCTGATGAGATTCTCAAACTGCTGCAGAAGGCCAAGGCCAAGGGCAGGAAGGTAAGCTCAACCTGGACACAGACTGACTCAGTAATACACATCTAGACACATCCCAGAGTTCAATATTTATGCTGTAATAAGCACATTTATTGATTATGAAATTGACAGTGGGTGACGCTTATTAACACCATATTTTCCTTGAAAATGACCTAACAAAACACACAACATGACCTGAAAAGGCCTTGAATTACACCTCAACCATGCTTGTGATTATCAGCAGCCATATGCAGTAATACAGCAGTGTATGAAATAAGCCAAAAACCCAGCCAGACGTCTGGATTTAACCAGACCAGACACCAAGATATGGTGAATTTACTCAGACATATGGAATGTCTAAAAAAAATTACCAGACCATCGGACTGGCTAGCTGTAAATTTAGACCGTCCATCAGAAATCTAGCCCGTCTTGGGCAGGCCTTATTTCATACACTGAATACAGCATGATGTAAAGTATTTTCATTTCTAGAAATTATGGGTACTTTTGGGAATGAATGTGGTTGCCATTCAGGAAGAGTTACTTCCCTCTATATTACATCATGGTGCTGTTGTTATTCATTTCATTTAAATGTGTCTAAAAGTGTCTTGAAATATCCGTGAAAAGGCATTGAATTGGTTGAGAACAAACTTGCATCAAACAGTGTGTTCTCTTGAAAGCATAGTAAAATTCATTATTTTTAAATTCATACAAAATTCATGTTTACAAATATAAGTTTGTGTGTTGGGGGGTGAACATTGTGAAAACAGTTTGCAAACTAGTTTGTGAAGTTTGACAAATTGTTGGTGAGAAACAGAATCAAACCTTTCTCTTGCCAAACCGGGGCAGTGGGGTAGCCTGGTAGTTAAGCGTTCGCTCGTCATGCCAAAGACCTGGGTCCGATTCCCCACTTGGTTACAATGTGTGAAGCCCATTTGTAGTGTCCCCCGTGGTGATATTGCTGGAATAATGCTAAAAGCGGTGTATAAATAAACTCACTCACTCTTGCCAAACTGTTTGCCTACATGCTGGTGTGTACAAACATCAGTTATGACGTGTGACTGGTTGTCAAACATATGTTGGTTGTGTACACACAATCACAATCTCTAAATACAGGAATGGAATTGGGCTGCTTACATTTTAAAGCATGACCCTTTTTATGGTCATAAAATTTTCAAACAAAATTTCATGGATTAATGATGAACGGAAGTGTTATGTTGTTTTCTTTTGTGCGATTTACACATGATACATTTCAATTCACACTATGAAATATTAAAGTCCATGGTTTCAGGTTATCTTTCTTCTTAGTGGTCATTGTAGTGGGGTAGCCTAATGGTTAAAGCATCTGCTCGTCACGCTGAAGACCCAGGTTCGATTCCTCACCTGTGTCCTATATGCGTTAATATTGCTGGAATATTGCCAAAGGCGGTGTAAAACAAGCATTGATTACATGAGTTATATCCTATAATATCAACCTGTTGCTATGCTCCTTTCAAATTAGCTATGACCCGTGAAGGTCCCGGTTAGAATGAACCTTCAGTAACCCATGCTTGTCGTAAGAGGCAACTAACGGGATCGGGTGGTCAGACTCGCTGGCTTGGTTGACACATGTCATCGGTTCCCAATTCCGCAGGTCGATGCTCATGCTGTTGATCACTGGATTGTCTGGTCCAGTCTCGATTATTTACAGACTGCTGCCACATAGCTGGAATATTGCTGATTGTGGCGTAAAACTAAACTCACTCACTCATTCCAATTAGCTTCAGTAAGTTGAATCATGGGAGCAGTAAGATAACTGGCATGCTATGTTACATGAGGAAAGGTCAATCTGAGATCAGGAGCCAGTAGAAAGTAGAAAGAAGCAGGCATTTCATTCACTGATTTGTGTATTAAATTGGCCAGTGTAACCATGGGATTTAACATAACTAAAACTAAAGTGCACCTGAAGAGCTCCAGGTGTTTTATGACATGTGGGTTTCCTGGATATTGTGCAGGAGTGTAACATGGATGCAACATATCTTGAGTCACATACTATCTTCACACAGTAAATATCTATCACGTGAGTAAGAGGCGACTAACGGGATCTCGTGATCAGGCTCACTGACTTGGTTGACACATGTCATCGGTTCCCAATTCTGCAGATCGTTTCTCATGCTATCGTACTATTGATCACTGGATTGTCTAGTCCAGACTCGATTATTTACAGACCGCCGCAATATAGTGCGGCGTAAAACGCAACTCACTCACTCACTATCACATGATTTTTACTTACATCTTCAACAAATATTTGAGACCTGCACCACTTTGGAATTTGCTCTCCCACATTAAGCTGACGGTGATGTAATTTTTGTACAGTTCAAAGTGATATTAAATGTAACTCACCCACTGATCAAGTACTCACTTATCTAGGCCATATTTGATACATGCCCATTTCAGTCCTGGAAGTATAATGCGAGAGCCAAAACATTTACGCCTTGTTCTGTATTTCAAGCATTTCAGTGTCCCCTTGTTTTCTTCTAGGATTTTATTCCTTTTCCGTGTTAATTTTTGTCCATTTTCTTTGGGTTATTGTTTGTGTCCAGCTGAGTGATTGTATAATTGTTGTTTGTAGTAAGAACAACAGGTATACTTTGTTTGCATATTTACAAACAACAACATAAAGCAACATTCACATACTCACTCACTCTGTGACTGATGTATAAACTTGTGTTTCAGATTGGGGCGTTCATCTGTGAACCATTAATGGGAGCTGCTGGAGTCATTGTTTTCCCTAAGAACTACCTCAAACTTGCCTACAGGTAACTCACAATGAAAATAATGAGTGAGTGAGTGAGTGAATTGGGTTTAATGCCACTTTGAATAGAATTCCAGTAATCACTGTGCGAGGAAAACAATTAGTGGTGAATAGTGTTGGAAATGGGTTAAAATATCACAATTGATGATTGGTTCATTACCAACAAGCAATCATCGAAAAACAAATAGGTTAGTATCATTTTTAGCGATTTCCTTATTCAGGTTGTTATTGCAGATAAGTATAACGTGGTTCTCTATTGTTGTTTTTTTGTTTTATTTAGAAACTGTGCAAATTGTATTTGCAAACTTCACATCCAATGTAAAATGATGCAACTTACTACTTTAAAGTGATGACTAATATATCATGAACATAAACTTCCTGGAGACTTCACAAGAAATTTTCATCCATGACTTTTCAGTAAGTGAAGAGAGTTTTCTAAGAATTAAACATGTTTTCAGGCGCTGACAACTTCAAAGATATGTTCCTTCGCCAAGTATTCCAAACACTAAAACAGTAGTTCCAAAATCTTTTGTGTTGATTATGAGAAAATGTGATCGATTTCTTGGTCATTTGATCACTTCCACCAATCTTCGATTATTTCAAGTAATCTGAACACCACTAGTGGTAAAAGCCCATGTTGAACCAAGTTTACATTCCAGTATCATTTTTAGTAAGACCCTGGATTTGTCAGCACCTGTCTTCATTGATTTCTCATTAGATATTTATAAAGAAGTCACTTTGTGATTTTCTCCAATACTAAGCTGACATGGTGTGCTATACTAGTGTTCAGAGAGGCATTGAACCCACATCGCTCTCACTCACTCACTCACTCACTCACTCATGACGTTGATCAGGAATGTATACTTCTCTAAAGAAGAGTGAGTGAGTGGTTTTATGCCTCATTTAGCAATAATCCAGCAATATCATTGTACCCATGTGGGGAATAGAACCTGGGTATTCGGTGTGACGAGTGAACGCTTTAACCACTAGGCTACCCCACTGCCCCTCTTTTCTTTCATATAGTCATTCGCTCATAGCATGACAGATTAACTACAGTTAGTAACTGCATATACAAGACTGATTAAATACAGTAATGGGAAAGAACTGCATGTTCTTAACTTCTTTGAGTAGTCGTGAAAGATTATATGACATGGGGTGCGGTGGGGTAGCCCAGCAGTTAAAGTGTTCGCCTGTGATGCCAAAGACCCGGGTTTGATTCCCCACTTGGGCACAATGTGTGAAGCCCATTTCTGGCGTCCCCCACTGTAATATTGCTGGAATATTGCTAAAAGCGGTGTTAAACCAAACCCACTCACTCACTCACCCAGGAGGGAGTATCTCAATGAACTGTACTGTCATCATGCTACCATTTAGAAATTCCTACCACACAAAGGTTAAAACTGTATCAGGCTATTCCTGTCTGGAGTTATGAAACTCCAAAACTCCAAATCAATATAACTATTTATGATTCATTATTCTGACTTCATGTATAAATCCAACATTATACACACTAAATGTATTATGGACTGGAGGCCTGTACCTGATTAATTCTGTCAGTCTGTTTCCCAGTCACTGGCATGACAAAATCACATGGATATTTTGCTCTGTTTCCTGGAGCCTGAGCTGATATAATCTCTAATACTGGATATGTCGGCGGGGTTTCCTCATCCGGATCAGCTGAGATGAGCATCACAGTGCACAGAGGCAAATATTAACATTAACTTATTATATGTTAGGCCAAGGCAGTTTTTTTTATTGTTTGGTGGGTTATCAGCTGTGATGATGAAAAGGGGCTGGAGGCAGTACAAAATATTAATGAAATTATTTTTTAGAATAGGTTTGAGTTTCATTTCCTCAAAATACTATTTTGACAAATTATTAAACAAAATTAAGAGAATACTGTATACAATGGTTATAATGAATTCAAAAAGACAACAAATTGTAGTTTGTAATAATCTTAGTTTGTTAATATGTAGTTATATAAAGTAGTAGTTATCTGCGACCCAAAAAAGCAGTTCATTATATCCATTAATCTGTTATAAGTCCGGAGAGCGGAAGTTCGCGGGTTCGATCCCCGACCGCGTCATACCAAAAGACGTTAAAATATGGTACTTGTTGGACCCTGCCTGGCCCTCGGCATTAATGGGTACAACAGTGACTGGTCGGCTCGGAGTCAGTATAATGTGTCTGAGTGGGGTATTCATGCTTCACTGTGGCATGGTATCTCAGTGGGCTAGCACTATAAAACCAGCTTAAGTCTGGGCTAGTACAAGCAGCCGCACATACACATACACACGCATGCACGTCGTCATATGAGCGAAATATTCTCAAGCACGACGTTAAACCCAATTTCACCTCACCTGTTATAAGTGTGTGCATTATAAATATAGTTTAATGTATCTGAAAATTGTAAATTCGATATAACATATTGTTACAAGTGAAGGTGTAGTGAAGGGGTATACCACAAATCCACTTGCACAATTATATGGATTACACAACAATTAGACAACAGTTAATTTAATTAATACTATCCTAAATAACATATCAATTTCTTTCCATATATCTTCTTTTACTGTTGAAAATGTATAGTGGAGTGTTTTTCTGCACATAAAAAAATATTTTGGCCTCTTGAAATACATTAATGTAAAACATTGATATTAACTTTTGTGCACTGTGATGCTAATCTCTGCTGAAGCCGGAATCAGGATACCCTGCAGGCAGCAGCAGGATGCTGTGGCTGTAGCAGCTGATGCTGCCGTAAACGCTGCAAGACACCTGTACCAGGTGTAAAAGTGACCTCAGTCTATGGAACATACAAGGTATCCCATTCCCAACTTCTATTAGCCACTCACAAAATTATTTACCTGGTTAAAAAACTCACACTTAAGTACTTTAGAGCATTTTAGTGCCATGATCAAATGAAACTTATTGTATCAGAAATCATATGTTCCAATATTGAGTTATTTAGTTGCAGCCTTTACTATGTATCTTAAAAATATAAGCACTTTGGAATACTTTTTACATAAGGAACTATGGTCAGAAAGCATTGAGGCATCACTATTCCTGCTATACAAATTAAAACAAAATGCAAATATCATAACCAAAACAAGTCATATGTATGAGTTAGGCACTTAAATTTGTCTCTCAGCTGATCGGGGCAGTGAGGTAGCCTTGTGGTTAAAGCGTTCGCTCGTCATGCTGAAGGCCCGGGTTTAATTCCCCACATGGGTACAATGTGTGAAGCCCATTTCTGGTGTCCCCTGCCGTGATGTTGCTGGAAAATTGATAAAAGCGGTGTAAAACTACTCACTCACTCTCAGGTGATCACGTAAGTTTGTTTCAGCTGTTACACATAGCTGTCATGTCTCATTGGTCAGGTGAGATGGCACACATGGCATCTGTTTCTATGATATCCACTGTTCTTTAAGGAAGTAAATTTCATTAGACAACAGTGAACGATCAATTAATGTATTACCAGCTAATCCTTTGAGTAGAGTATGTTGTTTTAACATGAAGAAACATGTAATCCTTCTACAATAGTAAACCTATATGCAGAAACAGTTTTCACAAATCCACTGTGCAAGATGACAGTGATAAATAAATCCTTTGAAGTTTTGTAGAACCCACACCTCCATTCCTCTCATTGTGCTGTCACATGCATATACTAGTGTTACTTAACTTCTTTGAGTGGCATTTTAGAAGTTGGGAAGTACAATATAGAACAAACTTTATGGATAACAACTTCTTTTTATTCGTGAGTGTGACGTTTCGATACAGATTCTTGTACCGTTGTTAAGCATAATCATTATGCTTGACAACGGTACAAGAATCTGTATCGAAACGTCGCACTCACGAATAAAAAGAAGTTGTTATCCATAAAGTTTGTTCTATATAGTATTACTTAACATGCAAGACATTCCAACATCAAACCTGTTTATAACCCAGTCTTAGATTCAATAATTACACCAGACATGAGAATTTCTCAGTATGACCCACTGATTGCTAAATATCTTTAACACCCTCGGATGCAGGGTTCATAGCCCATGGTCGAGGTAATCTGAGTGCTGCCACAACTTTATAATACTTGTGGTAAAGTATTATACATTACTTGTGGTAAAGTCATTATGTGAATGACGACTAATACACAAGTGTAGGGCTTTAACAATGAAACATGGACGACAAGAAGGGAGTGGTAATTGTTTTATTACATGACATTTGTCTGAAACAGTAATGATTGTTACTGTTTTGAGTATATTAATTGAACTTCATTGTTGCAAAAGTAATATGTACATGTAATTGTTTTAGACTGAAGTACACAACTGTACATACACATTGACACATATACCTGGTTCCAAGGTGAAAGGTTTTGGTAAGCATAATCCCATCAGATATGATAATTCACGGGGACTCCCCTGGTTGTCAACAAGGTTCTCCCAAACTGGTTCAAAACCCAGTCGCTGATAGTAATTGGTAGGCAGTGATTATGCGGGCTAATTATGGCATCAACTGGGTGTTTTTTTCCCTATAAAAATGTATGTATTCTCATCTAAATCCATCATCTGGAGATTTAGCCTGCAGACGTAAGGGTCAATATTTTGATGTCCACAAAGACGTTTTTTCACTGTTTTGCTTAAAAATTGTCATTTATTTAATTATGTAGTATAATAATCCTCCCAGTTATTGTTCAGCCGAGAGTCAGGTTAAATACACTTTTTGATTAATTCAATTCCTTGTGATGAATGTGCTGTAGGAACTGAATTCCTTCCTATTTACTGTCACCATTAAGTATGTTGGGATGTCTGAGCCCAAGGCGTGGCACTGATGCTGTCAGATGAAAGGACCGCTAACTAATCAGCAACAACACAACCAGGGGAGCGAGTTGTTGAGGAAGTCCATCCATGTGCCAGGGTGTGTGATGCGATGATTGTATGAGTGCTTCGTACAGATTCCCCCTTGGTAACCACAAAGTACCATTGTGAACATATGGGTCAAGCTTGTGTTATTTTCATGCACTAACTTATGCATGTACTTTTTCATTCAACCATTAATTTCCATGCAAGTACTATTTATGATGTTTTGGGAATATAAGTGATTACTCTTATATTCCCGGGGTGGTGTGGTTGCCCAGTTGTTAAAGCATTTTCTTGTCATGCCGAAGACCAGGGTTTGATTCCCCACATTGGTACAATGCATGAAGGCCATTTCTGGTTTCCCCACATTGCTAAAATATTGCTAAAAGCAGCGTAACACTCAACTCACTCGCACTTATATTTCTTCTAATTTTGTAACAGCCTCATCCAAGTGCACCCAGATTTTCAATTCTGTTAAGAAAAATTAAGATGTTCCCCAGGAAGCTTAAGCTATTTTAAATATTTTATTTCCCAAAAATATTTTCATTTTTTTTTTATATCATTAAGATACATTTTGATCCCATTTTCTATCTGCTTTGACTTGATTTCTTATGTTTTTTAATATTGACTTTTTTTTGTGGTTGATTTGGTAGCTCTTCACTGTTGTATTTTTCTTCTTATTTATGAGTTTAATACCTCGATGGTATGTACTGAATTCATACAATATATAAAGGCTTGACATCTGTGGCACTTGATGGCTATATCCAGTGTGTACAGAATATTTAGTCCATGCTCTATGAACATGTTGGGCTTTGGTTCGTGACCTGTATATTAACGGTATATTCAGGGTACATACAGACCTAGTATATGGACCTGTTTCCCCTTGTTCGAGGTCAAGGTCATGCAATCTTTGGACTGGTTTAAACTGGAAGATATTCAAGGACACAAGTGTTTATCATTAATCCATTGAATGTATCTTGGAATTACAGGATGACGTGTGAATCCAGAGGAATTGATATTTCTAAATGTTTGTTTCTCTTGTTTGCAACAGTTACGTTCGAGAGGCAGGTGGCGTGTGCATCGCAGATGAAGTCCAGTGTGGCCTGGGGCGAAATGGAGAACACTTGTGGGCGTTTCAGTCACAGGGTTGGTTTTGTTATCCCCTGTCATGATCTGTTGACATCTCTGGTCAGAGACATAACTCAAGCCACTCACAGGCTCATAGCCAGCCTGAAGGGTAACCTCCCATTACCCCTACATGCCACTACCCTACAGCTTATAACAACATAGTTTATGGTCTGTTGCATAACTAATCTCCTGCCTGTTACCTATTCCATACAGTGGACTGGTCCACTTAAGATGCACAACATGACACAAGACAGATTTTAAAAGTGACTTTAATACATGTGTTATCACAAAGTACCACATCATTGAGATCAATTGTCAAGTTTTTCAGTCTATTTACATTCAGTGTTTTAATCATCTCATCTCATATCACATCAGGATAAGAGAAAAACCAAATTATTACATTATCAAAAGTGTGACCTTAATACATCACACATTGAGATCAATAATTGTCAAGTTTTTCAGTCTATTTACATTCAGTGTTTTCATATCATCATATAAGGATGAACAAAAGATCACATTATCACAAGTGTTTCATATCAACATATCAGGATGAGAGAAAGACCACATTATTACATTATCACAAGTGTTCAAGTGTCAGTGTTACAGTCTATCCAAGCTTGAGCAGGTAGCCGACGTCAAGAAACTGAAGAGGGATTTCTGTCCACGCTGAAGCTGTTCCTTGAGTCTGCACAGACGGTTGTCGATCTCTCTGTACACTCGTTTTTTCTGTTTGTTGGCGCAGCACCAAAGTCAATCTGAGCAATCCTCACTCTCGGCGTGTTCGACTCTCCTGATGACTTCTACAAATCTGTAGATGTTCGGGTGCCTGTGTGGAATTTCTCGATTCAGACGGTTGTGGAATCCTTCCAGGTTGTTGTTTGTCCTCGCCCAGCTGTCAAGTTGTGGTTCCACAGGTGAAGAAAAATCTGGCAGTGTCGCCGAGGCCCATGTTGTCACGATGTGTAGTCGCTGAAGTCGCCAGCTCTTGGGATCGCCAGGTGTGTCATCCATGGCTTCAATCCAAGTGTCTTGGACCGCGCTTGAGGAAGTAGAGGTAGTCCAGCTGCTCTCCTGATCCACTTGGTGACTTCTGGGTTTTCCTTGTAGGCAACAGCTAGTCCAAGATCCTGAACCTTCCTCCAGATGGCTTGACAGAAATGGAAGAAACAGCCCTTCACGTCAGCAGTGGGAAATTCTGTTTCTATGGCGTGGATTGCTGCTAGCTCAAAATCGGTCTGGATGCAGGCAGGATCAAGCGGTCTGTTGAGTCTCTGCTGAACTTCATCCTTGAGCAATCGGAAGAGTCTGGAGTAGGTTGTTGTCTGGCGGTCCGGAAGAAGGGCGAAGATTAGGGGATATGTTGAGCTGCCACGTCTTGCATGGATGATGTATACTTGATTCCACAGTGCAGGACAGGCTGTGAAAGTTCCAACAGTTGTGACTCTTCCTTTGCATGTTGACTGCACACACTTCCAGTGTACACAGGTCTGTCGCTCAACATTCTTAGTGTGAAGATATCCATCCAACAGAACTTGACGGCTACCTCTCCGTGACATAACAAACTCAACATTGCGAAGACCAGCCATGTTGATGCCATGTTTGTTTCATGTCAACACTTATATACTGTATGGAACAATCTCAATTTCCTGTATCATCTCCACGTTTTATTTCTCTCAACTTCTCAACATTGTAATATATGTAACATTAAAGTGCACTATAACAACTTTTCTTAACAACATTTAGCAATCACAACACTTTTCCAATTGTATGTTTCTTCTACTCAGGGTTGAGGTTTGTTTTCATCATGAGACCACTAATTTCCTTGCCACAAAAGACTAATCACATTTATGCATCCCTTGATCTCATCTATGCTCCATGCACTAATCCCTCTTTAGGATTAGTCTATTATATCAGACAGGTAAATGCTAGGTGTTGTTTTAACTAGCTGTAGGGGTACTGGAGTGTAGGGGTAGTGGCATGTAGGGGTTATGGGTGTGAACCGCCTGAAGTCTGTAACAAATGTCACTAAAAGAGACTCGCAACCCCTCACGATTCAACTGTTGTCTGTAATACAGACACTGAAACAATGTATCCAAGAAAGTTCATGCCAGCCTAGAATATGTGTCAAGTCCAGATGCCACAGTTTCTGAAAATGAATGAAAATGAAGAAAGTTTCCAGACACCTTTTCATTATGTTTGATGATTCTAATTTAGGCCAGACCAATTTTATTTCTTGTTTTACGAATCTGCTGGTCATATTTTTTCAAGAATAAGAAAAATAATAAAAATTAATTTTCCCCGCTCAAAAAATAATATCCTCATATTTTTATTGGCTAAAAATGTAAACTTACAACAAAAAATGTTTTGATTGTTTTTGGCCCCATATACACTTCATAAATTGCCAAAAATACTTTTAGTATTTAAAAGGAATATTACTTTGACTGGTGATTTTTATTTTTTATTTTTTCCCTCCTGCCTTAAGGTTTGTTTTCTGAGCACAAAAATCCGTAAAACAAGAAATAAAATTGGTCTGGCCTTTGGAACCTTTTTTTTGCTAAAATATGTTCATTGATGTGAGCCTAGATATTAGAGGTCACTTGTATTTCACTGCCATCAGCACCAGTAATGGTATTTGTTTTATAGCCTATTTCTGTGTCGTAACATTGAATGAAGTGTGTCAGCAAAGAAGCAAGATAATGATTTTTTAGGATAAGATGTAACTTATCTTTGATTAGAACCCCAACTTCAAAGTGCCTCTCAAAGAAATGATATTTTTCAAACATTTTCAAGGTTGCTTTGAAATCCTAGATAAATCCCTGTTGCTAAGCAGTATATGTGCGAGGAGTACGAGAGTGAATATTTTGGTAATCTGCTGAGTCAGCTGTATTCCTGCTGTCTCACAGCAGACTGTCAAGTGCTATGTGTAAGTTGCTGGTTTCATGTCTAGCAGTTCATACAGTCGAGATCCTTTCATGATATTGCTTCTTGCATGGTGAACTCTAATATAATCTATCTCACCTGGTCTACAACTCAGTTTCAAGAGTGCAAGGCCGAAACACCATTGCAAAAAGGATGTGAACCTCTGCCACATTGTGAAATTGAAATCTTAAGCATGGTAATAGTAACATTATGTTGATTTTGATTAAGATTTGACAACTTTGGTTAGTTTTCCTGAGCATTCTTCTGGCAAGATAGTTTGTTGGTGTGTCAGTGGCTGCCTGACAGTGATGCGATATAAGTTCCCTTCTTTTCTCTCTGATTAGGCTGGTGGCTCAGTCGTCTAAGGCACTACAATTTGTTGTGCAGAGTTCTGTCCCTTGGACTTACCAGAAACCTATGATTAGGGGTTAAAAAATGTGTTCGCCCTGATATTGTTTAGATTTGTCAGTAGCATATTCATGCTTATTGCATTTAGCTAAGAGGTATCTGTCATAGATCTGTATCACTTCAGGCTGTCCTCTTGCATTATGCTTACACCCTTGGATATAACAGGATTATGTTCATAGGGGTGTTAAACCCAGCTCCCTCACTCACCCGCAAGTGGGAGTAGTTTGTTTGGGTTTTCATTAACGCCACACAAAGCAATATTCTGGCTCTATGAGTGAGTGAGTATGGTTTTACACCTCGTTTAGCAATATTCCAGCAATATCACGGCGGGGGACACCAGAAATGGGCTTCACACATTGTACCCATGTGGGGCATCGAACCCTGGCCTCTGCTCTGATGAGCGAACGCTTTAACCACTAGGCTGCCCTACTGCCCCTCTGACTGTTTGAGGTTTGGTCTGTTGGTGACTATCTCCTGACCACCCAATGATTGATATCATGAACAACAATCCAAGGTATGATCACACTGTATGATCAGTTAAATAACCAAGCTGGAACATCCAGTTTATTAAGTCACATCTTATGGCGAGGATAGGCCTAACCCAATTCTAATGCAGAGTACTGCTGAAAATTTCACTGGCAACTATTACATTTTGTTTTCTTCTCATCCTCAGATGTAGTTCCAGACATTGTAACAATTGGCAAGCCTGTTGGCAACGGCCACCCCATGTCAGTCGTCGTCACGTCTAAAGAAATAGCTGACAGTCTGGGAGAGTTCAGTTCCACCGTAAGTGTTGCCGGGATGGGATGGTGTACACCGGTCTTGTGACTGCTTCTCTAATGATGGGTGTATTTTGAGCTGCCGATAGACGGCTGGGGGAGGGGCTTGGGGGCTGGATGGGAGGTCCTGGGGGGATGTGCAGGAGAGGCTGGGGTAATGACATAGACATAGACACAGACAATACTTTATTACCTTAAAAGGAATTCGTTTGGATCACAGAGCTTGACAAAAATACAAATGAATAACAACATAAAGTATGAAATTACTAAAAACATAAAAAGAGATAAATATGTGCTTAACAATAATTAAATGAATAATGATAACTGGACATTCAACTTTTGTTTAAAATCGCAATACTTTGAGGTACAAAAGATGTTTGAGTTCATTAAGTCTTGGTGATTGAAGGACGGACGGGGCTGGCGGGAGGGGCGGTGCTGGCGGGAGGGGCTGAGGGTAGCATGTACCTGTGTATTTCAGTATTACCTTGATTCTGTTTAATCTGAAGTGTGATATTGAGAACAGGACCTTCACGCCCATGCATAGTTTGTCCCTGTGTGTCAATGTTGACAGTTCAGGGGTAACCCTGTGTGTTTATGTTGACTGTTTGGGGGTAACCCTGTGTGTTTATGTTGACAGTTTGGGGGTAACCCTGTGTGTTTATGTTGACAGTTCAGGGGTAACCCTGTGTGTTTATGTTGATAGTTCGGGGGTAACCCTGTGTGTTGACAGTTCAGGGGTAACCCTGTGTGTTTATGTTGACAGTTCGGGGGTAACCCTGTGTGTTTATGTTGACAGTTCAGGGGTAGCCCTGTGTGTTTATGTTGACTGTTTGGGGGTAACCCTGTGTGTTTATGTTGATAGTTGGGGGGTAACCCTGTGTGTTGACAGTTCAGGGGTAGCCCTGTGTGTTGACAGTTCAGGGGTAGCCCTGTGTGTTTATGTTGACTGTTTGGGGGTAACCCTGTGTGTTTATGTTGACAGTTCGGGGGTAACCCTGTGTGTTTATGTTGACAGTTCAGGGGTAACCCTGTGTGTTTATGTTGATAGTTCGGGGGTAACCCTGTGTGTTGACAGTTCAGGCGTAACCCTGTGTGTTTATGTTGACAGTTCGGGGGTAACCCTGTGTGTTTATGTTGACAGTTCAGGGGTAGCCCTGTGTGTTTATGTTGACTGTTTTGGGGGTAACCCTGTATGTTTATGTTGACTGTTCAGGGGTAACCCTGTGTGTTTATGTTGACTGTTCGGGGGTAACCCTGTGTGTTTATATTGACAGTTTGGGGGTAACCCTGTGTGTTTATGTTGACTGTTCAGGGGTAACCCTGTGTGTTTATGTTGACAGTTCCGGGGTAACCCTGTGTGTTTATGTTGACAGTTCAGGGGTAACCCTGTGTGTTTATGTTGACAGTTCGGGGGTAACCCTGTGTGTTTATGTTGGCAGTTTGGGGGTAACCCTGTGGCCTGTGCCACAGGAATGGCTGTCCTTGATGTCATACAGAATGAGAAACTCATCTCCAGTGCACAGTCAGTGGGGAAGTGCCTGTTGGAGGGGTTCTCTGCCATCTTGCCGAATCATCCCATGATGGGTTGTGTACGGTAAGTCTTCCTTTCACTTGCCTTTACACGTCATGTTAAATTCTAACTCAAGGTCTCAGGCTGTAAGTTATTACCACTTTATTCATGAAATATAAACATAACATGAATATGGATAGGCACACCAAGCCAACAGCTTATGTAAGTGCCGCTCCATCAAATATAACACAATGCAATCAATAATTAATTTCAAACAAAGTACAGAAGCAATTATTTCCACAAAAGCATGAAATGCGTTTTTGATAGGTAAATGTCTACAAAATTACATTAAATAGTTTATAGTAATTGCATACATAAGAGTTTAGAATAATTTGAGTCTATTTGAAAGTAGTATCCTCGAGTCATCTGTTTTCGTTCATCATCTGTTTTCGGTCGGCCGTTTGCGTGTTCATTTCTCGCGGTTATTAGCGAGATTTTACGTCACCAGACAGGTTATTTTTAGCAGGATGTCGACTGCTTCAGCTCTGACTAACAAAATGCTTCGTGTGAAATTTAGTAAGGTACATGATTGCAAACACATGTAAATGTTACGTTTTAGAACCGAGTTTACTAATGCATAAATTTTCATGTAATCAAAATGCTATATCTAAAATATCGTCAGATCCACCTTTTCAGTATAGGCGTCGTCTGCTTGTTTATAGTATGACATATTATTATCCCATGACATATTACGTATGCGTTGCCGTCGTAAAAAATATATGGAAACTGGATAGGATCATCTCTTATTACGATTTTCCAAAATATTCATTTAATTTTCGAAACTGCAATTAATATATTTCTGTGTCATGGGCCCAGTGTACTCATCCTGCATGCTGTCATTGGGTCCACCTCAAGCTGTGCACCTCCGTAGATATGTAGTGAGATCTTCTGATGAGTTTTGGTGCCCTTGTCAGCGAACCGAGGAGAGTGAAACATGCCTGGACATGTGATGTAACTAGCTAAGTCTTATCATGATTAACTTTGACATGAAATTATTACGACCATAGTTTCTAATAATTATTATTGGAACTATTACAAATATTCTTTTTGGACTGGATGTTTATTAACTTTATATTATAAAAATATCAGCATAGCACGAATACTGCTATTTGATTCGTGTTTTACGGAGAACCAATGAAGTGAACGAAAACAGATGACGTCACTTCCGCATTCAGGATCTTTGCGTAGCGAACTACGAGGCCTGCTATGCGGGTGAAACACGAGGTTAATCCGTCAGATATTTGAATATCATAAATAAATAACAAACAAACGAGGCAGGATTGTTTATTATCGATTTATTTATGCACTTAATGTTACGTTGGTCGACAATCCTTACATGACCGAAAACCGAATACACAAGGATATGTATTTATGAACAGAGTCAAGAATAAGCTGATTAATTCTGTTGCTGGAAGTTTGATGACCTTGAAGAATTGAATTTAAGTAAAACCATTTGTATGGAAATATTCATCTGATCTTATGGAGTCATAACAAGGGCAAGAAAAGAAGTAATGGAGAGAATCTTCCCACGGATACCCACATGCACATATCGGATTATTTGAAATATGTCTATCAAAATAATGAGCGTTCAAGTCACTACAACCCAACCTGAGGCGAGCATGGATTATTTGACAAAATCAAGATCCAAAGTTTAGTACAAAGAGAATATTTCCTTGTTTGGTCTGTAATCATGTTTTGAACAAATTTACTGATTGTGAGTTAATTATTTCGGTTGGCAAATTGTTCCATAAATGCATGGTGTCTGGTGAAAAGGAACGTGCATACGACTGTATTGCAACGAATTGTGCGACTTCCATCAGCATTTCTCAGATTGTAATCAGATACTAGTAAGTAGTTTGGAGTAATGTTATTATTCAATTTGTAGAATAAATTAAGTTTCTTCATTTCTCTACGCCTAACTAATGGTATGAAATTGGTCTCCTTGTAGATTTTTTCATGACTAGTTCCTCTCACGGCTCCACAAATCGTTCTTAGGGTGGCTAATTGTAAGTTTTCTAGAATCATAGACTGTTCTTTCGTACAGTTGTCCCATATGTCGCAACAATAATCAAATTGTGGAAGTAGATAGGTCTACATACATTCAGATGTATTTCTAGTTAGTTTATATTTAAAGCTTCTTAAACAGTTTACCATTGTACTTACTACCTTTACTATTTCTTCAATTTATTTTTTCCAATAACAATCTCTTTGAAGATAAATACCTAAATGTTTAAACACCTAAATGATTACCAAAAATTGGCTTCATTTACTTGAGTTTCTTTCATTTCTATCACCTCTTATGACAAACATAGGTTGTAGAATCGGTCTTGACGCAATGCTTGTTGTAAGAGGTGACTAATGGGATTCAGTGATCAGGCTCATTAAATTGGGTGATGCGTGTTGATGAATTTGTGAAGAATTTCATTTCTTTGCCTCTCAATGAGTGTTTGAATAATGCAAGTGATAAACTGTGTTTGTGATTACTGTACAGGGTGTCAGTGATTACTGTACAGGGTGTTAGTGATTACTGTACAGGGTGTTTGTGATTACTGTACATGATTACTGTACAGGGTGTTGATGATTACTGTACAGGGTGTCAGTGATTACTGTACAGGGTGTTGATGATTACTGTACAGGGTGTCAGTGATTACTGTACAGGGTGTTGATGATTACTGTACAGGGTGTCAGTGATTACTGTACAGGGTGTCAGTGATTACTGTACAGGGTGTTTGTGATTACTGTACAGGGTGTCAGTGATTACTGTACAGGGTGTTAGTGATGACTGTACAGGGTGTTAGTGATTACTGTACAGGGTGTTAGTGATTACTGTACAGGGTGTTAGTGATTACTGTACAGGGTGTTTGTGATTACTGTACAGGGTGTTAGTGATTACTGTACAGGGTGTTAGTGATGACTGTACAGGGTGTTAGTGATGACTGTACAGGGTGTTAGTGATTACTGTACAGGGTGTTTGTGATAACTGTACAGGGTGTTAGTGATGACTGTACAGGGTGTTTGTGATAACTGTACAGGGTGTTAGTGATGACTGTACAGGGTGTCAGTGATTACTGTACAGGGTGTTTGTGATAACTGTACAGGGTGTTTGTGATAACTGTACAGGGTGTTTGTGATTACTGTACAGGGTGTTAGTGATTACTGTACAGGGTGTTTGTGATAACTGTACAGGGTGTTAGTGATTACTGTACAGGGTGTTAGTGATTACTGTACAGGGTGTTAGTGATTACTGTACAGGGTGTTAGTGATGACTGTACAGGGTGTTAGTGATTACTGTACAGGGTGTTAGTGATTACTGTACAGGGTGTTTGTGATTACTGTACAGGGTGTTTGTGATTACTGTACAGGGTGTTTGTGATAACTGTACAGGGTGTTTGTGATTACTGTACATGATTACTGTACAGGGTGTTTGTGATTACTGTTATGTGTGTCAGTGATTACTGTGCAGGGTGTTAGTGATTACTGTACAGGGTGTTTGTGATTACTGTACAGGGTGTTTGTGATAACTGTACAGGGTGTTTGTGATTACTGTACATGATTACTGTACAGGGTGTTTGTGATTACTGTACATGATTACTGTACAGGGTGTTTGTGGTTACTGTACATGATTACTGTACAGGGTGTTTGTGATTACTGTAATGTGTGTCAGTGATTACTGTACAGGGTGTTTGTGATTACTGTACAGGGTGTTTGTGATTACTGTACAGGGTGTTTGTGATTACTGTACAGGGTGTTTGTGATTACTGTACAGGGTGTTTGTGATTACTGTACAGGGTGTTTGTGATTACTGTAATGTGTGTCAGTGATTACTGTACAGGGTGTTTGTGATTACTGTACAGGGTGTTTGTGATTACTGTAATGTGTGTCAGTGATTACTGTACAGGGTGTTTGTGATTACTGTACAGGGTGTTGATGATTACTGTAATGTGTGTCAGTGATTACTGTACAGGGTGTTTGTGATTACTGTACAGGGTGTTTGTGATTACTGTACATGATTACTGTACAGGGTGTTTGTGGTTACTGTACATGATTACTGTACAGGGTGTTTGTGATTACTGTAATGTGTGTCAGTGATTACTGTACAGGGTGTTTGTGATTACTGTACAGGGTGTTTGTGATTACTGTACAGGGTGTTTGTGATTACTGTACAGGGTGTTTGTGATTACTGTAATGTGTGTCAGTGATTACTGTACAGGGTGTTTGTGATTACTGTACAGGTGTTTGTGATTACTGTACAGGGTGTTGATGATTACTGTACAGGGTGTTTGTGATTACTGTACAGGGTGTTGATGATTACTGTACAGGTGTTTGTGATTACTGTACAGGGTGTTGATGATTACTGTACAGGGTGTTTGTGATTACTGTACAGGGTGTTTGTGATTACTGTACAGGGTGTTTGTGATTACTGTACAGGGTGTTGATGATTACTGTACAGGGTGTTGATGATTACTGTACAGGTGTTTGTGATTACTGTACAGGGTGTTTGTGATTACTGTACAGGGTGTTGATGATTACTGTACAGAGTGTTAGTGATTACTGTACAGGGTGTTGATGATTACTGTACAGGGTGTTTGTGATTACTGTACAGGGTGTTTGTGATTACTGTACAGGGTGTTGATGATTACTGTACAGGTGTTTGTGATTACTGTACAGGGTGTTGATGATTACTGTACAGGGTGTTTGTGATTACTGTACAGGGTGTTGATGATTACTGTACAGGGTGTTGATGATTACTGTACAGGTGTTTGTGATTACTGTACAGGGTGTTGATGATTACTGTACAGGGTGTTTGTGATTACTGTACAGGGTGTTTGTGATTACTGTACATGATTACTGTACAGGGTGTTTGTGGTTACTGTACATGATTACTGTACAGGGTGTTTGTGATTACTGTAATGTGTGTCAGTGATTACTGTACAGGGTGTTTGTGATTACTGTACAGGGTGTTTGTGATTACTGTACAGGGTGTTTGTGATTACTGTACAGGGTGTTTGTGATTACTGTAATGTGTGTCAGTGATTACTGTACAGGGTGTTTGTGATTACTGTACAGGGTGTTTGTGATTACTGTACAGGGTGTTGATGATTACTGTACAGGGTGTTTGTGATTACTGTACAGGTGTTTGTGATTACTGTACAGGGTGATTACTGTACAGGGTGTTTGTGGTTACTGTACATGATTACTGTACAGGGTGTTTGTGATTACTGTAATGTGTGTCAGTGATTACTGTACAGGTGTTTGTGATTACTGTACAGGGTGTTTGTGATTACTGTACAGGGTGTTAGTGATTACTGTACAGGTGTTTGTGATTACTGTACAGGGTGTTTGTGATTACTGTAATGTGTGTCAGTGATTACTGTACAGGTGTTTGTGATTACTGTACAGGTGTTTGTGATTACTGTACAGGGTGTTAGTGATTACTGTACAGGGTGTTTGTGATTACTGTACAGGGTGTTTGTGATTACTGTACAGGGTGTTTGTGATTACTGTACAGGTGTTTGTGATTACTGTACAGGGTGTTTGTGATTACTGTACAGGGTGTTTGTGATTACTGTACATGATTACTGTACAGGGTGTTTGTGGTTACTGTACATGATTACTGTACAGGGTGTTTGTGATTACTGTAATGTGTGTCAGTGATTACTGTACAGGGTGTTTGTGATTACTGTACAGGGTGTTTGTGATTACTGTACAGGGTGTTTGTGATTACTGTACAGGGTGATTACTTGCGTTGTTGTTTGTGATTACTGTAATGTGTGTCAGTGATTACTGTACAGGGTGTTTGTGATTACTGTACAGGGTGTTTGTGATTACTGTAATGTGTGTCAGTGATTACTGTACAGGGTGTTTGTGATTACTGTACAGGGTGTTTGTGATTACTGTACAGGGTGTTGATGATTACTGTACAGGGTGTTGATGATTACTGTACAGGGTGTTTGTGATTACTGTACAGGGTGTTTGTGATTACTGTACAGGGTGTTTGTGATTACTGTACAGGTGTTTGTGATTACTGTACATGATTACTGTACAGGGTGTTGATGATTACTGTACAGGGTGTCAGTGATTACTGTAATGTGTGTCAGTGATTACTGTAATGTGTGTCAGTGATTACTGTACAGGGTGTTAGTGATTACTGTAAATGATTACTGTACAGGGTGTTGATGATTACTGTACAGGGTGTTTGTGATTACTGTACAGGGTGTTTGTGATTACTGTACAGGGTGTTTGTGATTACTGTACAGGGTGTTGATGATTACTGTAATGTGTGTCAGTGATTACTGTACAGGGTGTTTGTGATTACTGTACAGGGTGTTTGTGATTACTGTACAGGGTGTTGATTATTACTGTACAGGGTGTCAGTGATTACTGTATACTGTGATTGCTGTTCAGGGGGATGGGAATGCTGGTCGGTGTGGAGATTGTCATGGACAAGGAGAGCAGGAAGCCGGCCAAGGAGGCAGCAGAGATTCTTGCATACCAGTAAGTGGTGCCAGTAATTGAGATTTTCATATTCATGTACGTGTAAGTTGGGTTTGGTTTTGAGAATTTCACGTACCAGTTATCAAGATTCTTAAATATCTGTAGGCGGGTCCGGTTGTAAAGAATGTTGTATACCAACGTGTTTGGTTAGTTGTCATGATTCTCATAAACCTGAAAGTTGAGCTTCCCCATAGAGGTACAGTTTCAGATTAACCAAATATGGATGCTTCTGTTACCCAGGATGAAAGAACAGAGGATTCTGATTGCGAATGATGGTGAGGACCAAAATGTGATTGTGTTGACGCCGCCAATGTGTTTCACATGTGACAATGCCAGACAGGTGATACAGGTCTTTGACAAGGCGTTACGAGACATAGAGACTGGAGCTGTCAGTGTGGGACTCACTCAAGGGGGAGACAACTTCACAATCGCCCCACCATTGGATGTGCCTTTACAAGTGTTATCAGAAACCCATGGACTGTCTGACGAAGATGATGATAGTGATGATCCTGCCTTGAAGAGGCCTCGGTATGAAGAGATGGACTGAAGCTGGAGTCTGTGAAAATATGAAAGAGTATTTTCATGATTATTTTTTATAATATTATGGAGAAAGTTTTACCCAAAATTGCCTCAAAATGGTGTGTCAGTTCTCCAACATCAGTGGATGAAAACTTCATTGATTTCACTCTCTAGGAGTCTTGGGGATGAATAGTGTTTGGCACAGCTGTCCATCCATCCATCCATCAATCCGTGTGAATGGTTGTTTGGGATGTGTTCTCTTTGTGTCACAAACAGAATACAATACTGTACAGTTTTGACACAAAATCGTGTGCTCGTTTGAGTTCATGATTAGATGGGCAGTTTGCTCTTCATTGACATAAGATCAAAAGTTAACATTTCCATGGAAACGAGTAGAACCTAAGCTCATCTGTTAATTATGAGGGTTGTTGAAGTTCAGGAGTGTTGGATCTCTCTAGGGAGATGATGACGTCTGCTCACCAGCTGGGATGCTTATCAATGAAGCTGATTATGGAAACATCCAGAATGCCTGTGTAAAACAGGGACCCAGCTGGCCCAGACATCTATGGTGCTCCATAGTGGTGTCAGTTGGTCACACCAGAAAACTGTGATTGTGGGTTCGAGTCCTTGATTGCCCCGATAATGTTGCTATGTTCATCAGCACCATACCGGGGCTTTTGGGGTTTCACCAAAGTGATCAACATCTAAAGCCATGCTTCAATTCAGGCTTTCCTGCCACATTAAACTGACATGCTATGATATTGCTGAAATACTGTCTAAAGTCAGTGTTTAAAACTCCCAAAATTCTAAGCCAGGCAGCCGGACTGGTAACTTAAAAGAATTACCAGTCCGGATACAAACTTGCCTGTCCGGTTTTCAACAATACAAGACAGTGACTGCCATTTCCAACTCACGCAAGCTCCATTCACTGTTTGTAGGCATCGCAATGAACTACATAGCACTAACAGGCAATGCACTGAGTTTTGCAACAACATGGTGCCTCTATTTATCATTTTTTGAAGATTCTGCCAACCCAGAAAATACTTGACACATTGCCTGTCATATATGTTGTGTTGAATTGTTCATGGCTTAAATGAAGGACTGCTCAATCGATAGAAATTGTGGTTATGATCAAAAATAGATATTCATATTCAACCATTGCTCAGTAATCAAGGCTGACAATTGAAATTTCTTAAATGAATATATTTGTATAACTGTGACAGATAGGCCAGTGAGTTATGTACCTGTGAAACTGCAATACATCGATGTTGATTAGATATCATGTCTCCATCATTGTAGCCTTATGTTGAACTTATTATTCTGATCTTGTTTCATGTAATTTGCTGGTGTTTTGCTGTATACATGGAGCACTGATCTGCTTACCTTAAACCACAGGTTGTCAATAACAATCAACATTGTGCACTGTACAGACTTCGTATCTCACTGTTTTATACTGCACACTCTGGTATTGTATTCAAGTATTTCTGTTAAATGTCAAGATTGTTCACCTTTCATAGGTCATTAATACTGATAATATTAAACTGTGTGTTACTGAGTACACTTCCAGGGGAATGGAAGAAGGTGAAGGTCATGGGTTCACTTCTAGAGGAATGCAAGTAGGTGAAGGTCATCTGGTTCACTTCTCGAGGAATGGAAGAAGGTGAAGGTCATTGAATACATCTCTAGAGGAATGGAAGAAGGTGAACGTGGGCTCACTTCTAGAGGAATGCAAGATGGTGAAGGTCATGGGGTTCACTTCTCGAGGAATGGAAGAAGGTGAAGGTCATTGAATACACCTCTAGCCTGGTGGTTAAAGCGTTCCCTCATCACACCGAAGACCCGGGTTCGATTCCCAACATGGGTACAATGTGTGAAGCCCATTCCTGGTGTCCCCCCCCACCATTATTTTGCTGGAATATTGCTAACAGTGGCGTAAAATTATACTCAATCAATCATGCAGTTATTGTGTTGACTTGTTTAGTAATCAACATGCAGATACTAAAATGTGTATCAATCTACAGATTGTAATTTGTGGTCCAAGGCCATATCTCTCTTTTGTAAGAATTGCAGATACAGTACAAACAGAAATTATTGAGAATTTAAAGATTGTAATTTTTTATATTGTCTTCACTCATTACTCACGTATTAATGTGAATATTAGCAGAACATAACTCCAGATTCAAAAGACAGGTGAACAGTTAGTATTTTGTCAGGTCACCATGGGCAGTAATGCAGGCTTCAATTCGACGGGGCATACTACTGATCAAAGAAGTTAGAAAGTCATGGCCAATGCTGTCCCAATATTGGCCCACCTCTTCTTTCATTTCAGCAATATTTGTCAGATTTTTCTTATTGACACTTTCCTTCATAAGTCCCCAAACATTTTCTATTGGATTTAGGTCAGGGCTATAGCTTGGCCAATCTAATAATGTCATATTTTGGGTCCGAAACCAGGCCTGTTAATGCTTTGAACGATGTTTTGGGTCGTTGTCCTGCTGGAAAATCCAAACTTTCCATAGCCATGTGAGCAGATGGAAGTAAATGTCCCTCGAGAATATCTGTGTACCGCTCACTGTTCATATTCCCTTCAAATACACAGAGGGGCTGTACTTTGGGCGCTGATACAAAGGTTTTTCAGTTTGTTTGGTCCAGAATTTCAGTGTATTAGGAAACAGCCACACAGAACTTTCATCTGAGAAACTCACATTGTCCCAGTTAAAATTTCTATGCTGTAAGCACCAGTTCAACCTTCGCTCCTTTTGTTCAGGTTTCATGATCGGTGATGGAATTCCTCGACTTTTCTGCCAACCCATTGCATGCAGCTCAGTTCTAATTGTCTCCTTACAGACAGCCACAGTTACTCTATCAATCATATCCAGCCTTAAGTTTTATAAACTCCTTCGTTTTAGAAACAAGAATACCAAGCCGCCTCCTGTCACCGACAGTCAATTTTCTGGGCCTACCTGCGCCTCCCTGGTGCTCAATGCCATATCCATTTGCAATATTTTTCAAAACACGATAAACAGTGGACAAAGGGAGTCTATTCTACTTTAAATCACTTAAGCTGATCTGATCATCCATACTGAGGATCACTGAAAATGTCTGCTAGCAAGTAAACAAAGGGGGATAACTCTTCACAAACTAATGAAAAAGGATTAACGGAGTTGTCTTTCTTGAATGAAACCAAGCACTTGATAGCTGGTTAAGGGTGTTTATACTAGAAATCCAATTAAACATATTCCTAAAATTCTCAATAATTTCTGGTCATACTATAGATGACGTGTATTCTCTCTCGATGATTTATGACCTATTCTTATGCATCTGTGAAATACCATATTGTAAGAATATTCATTGATTCTGTTCATATAGACATTAGTTGTTCACTGATCTCGAGGGGGATAGGGTTGATGTAGCCTCGATGTTCGTTTATGTTCCCTGAGCCTGAAAACATCGAGGGTACATCAACCCTTGGGCCCTGAGGGACCAGTGAACAATGTATTTATGTTACCGAACACCTTAATGTTAATTTTGAATTGTTTGAAGCACGGGTATAAATCTTTTTGTAGCCATCGCTAGATTTTGCTGACAAGAAAAACAGATTTAGAGTTATCTCCCTTCCATCAATTGCATTCGCAAAACATAGGTAATTTCTGTACATCATACATGATTCAATGTTATTCGAGATAAAGAAATACTACCACGAAGTACCAAATGAGTTGCCATTGACAGCGGGGGTACATTGAAATGTTACTCGCTTGTAAGCGGGGTACATTGAAAATAATAGAAGAGCGCTCAGCCAATCAGAAAGTGACATTTATGTGTGAGGTAAGATAAGATCACTTGTTAGCAATTCTTTTCTTTCCAATGAAACCTTTCCCTGGCTGGTCTCTAAAACTTGACTCTGCCGCCAACTGTGTCGATTTGTCTTTTTCACAGTAGTTGTTTCCTTAGGACATTTTGGTCTCTGCCTTTTACTCACAGGACAGCTTTAATTTCTTGTTGAAATGTGTATACATGTACACCATGTATATTTCAGTAGCAAACTGTGAAAACTGATGTCATGCCACAAAAGGTTTGGCAAGGTTAGAAACTTGAACATATGAACTATAAATTAAGTGTTGTCTGAGTCTACTTCAGTGTCTTCTGAGGGTTTTTGTTTTGTAGGCTTATTTTTTCCTTCTCAAGAGACAGGAACATTTTGTACAATTTTGCCACTTGTATAGTGTCTTCCCTTCCATGTTTATTTGCTTGTATTTGCCACTTGTATGGATTCTTGGCTTATATTCGAGGAGATAATCAGGGATAATATTTGTGACATATCTTAAGGATTCAGAAGATCGGGATGTGGGTTTCGTTTGTGCTTTGGTAGGCTTAAAACATAGTGTTTTTAGGTGATTTCAAAACTGTTCCTAAATATCTCTGTCATCCTTGTTGAAGAGTTATCAGAAAACTCTGGCAGTGTTTTCTGGGGCTGGTTTTGTTTGACATATGTAAAGGAACTATGCTTAAAAGAAACACAAACGGATTCAGACATACATAGACGGACGGACAGACAGACGGGCACGCACGCACAACTGAATGTATTAAATATGATGTTTACAATCTGCACATACATCCAACCATAGCTAGAGGGAGGTAACTCTTCACAGACTGCTTATCTCCAACTGCTTTTGTGCTGCACCTTGAGTTCTAATTAGAGAATAGCATGGCTACTGACTGCCATACATTAGTAGCTCACTCAGTACCTCCTGATAATCTGTTACCATGGCAAGACTTCATTATTCCTGGATTTTATGTTTTGTTAAAGATATCCAAATCAGAAATCAAGTCTGATTCAACATATGATTTAGACTTATTCTTGTTTTATTTTAGACGTTTGTTATTTCAGATTCCCAGTTTATGAAGTCAATATTGCGACATCTTGTAATTATCATTATTATTTTAATTTTTATATACTTCCTTTCAAATGTTTAGACACACTTAAAACACTCACTATATGTTATGGATATATATCTATATATATATGTTTCTTTGAAGATTGATTTCTCCATTAACTTGGGGGAACCAACTGCAAACCTTATGCAGATGAATTGCATGAGGATCATGCATCAATTTGCTGAAAAGCATGTGCAATTATCTTGCATGTGAACAGTTACGTTTTGGTGTAAAGTTTGGTTAAGAATGCACCAATTTTCACTGATTTTTATCATTTACTGAACTCATGACCATATTCTTTTCAGTGTTACGAATTTGTTTTACAACACACCAGTTCATGTGTAAACAGTACCTTTAAACAGTATGGACTATTTTGCAAAATCAAGTTTAGAACAGTTGCCTGAAGTGAGTGGCTATATTTACACTAGTCAAAAAGTTGAAAGCAAGTATAGATCATTACAGTTTCATTAAATAAAGTCTTTTACTCTGATGCGATATCTGTATGTTGAAATAAGTAAGTAATGGAGCACAGATGCTGGTCTAGACAGTGTCCGCTGTATTCGAATGTCACTCATATTAGAGTTGTTCTTCCAAATGTCCTTTAATCCAGAAGAAGAAATGTTCGTCTTAGAAACTCTAGATTCAAGCTACATTGAAACGTTATATTTGGTGACCAAGCCCAGATTTCTCGAACCAAACTTAAGTCTGAGATTTGACTTAAGTACGAGTTTTTACTCAAATGGGAGAAAATGCATTTCCCAAAATGAGTGAGTTATATAATCCACTGCCACATTGTACCAACATTCACCTGTTAAACTCTATGTGTTTAGTGTAGACTAAACAGGGAGTGTATGTTTCTTCAGGTGGTTAATGTGTTTCTGTTACAAACTTTGAAGCCAACCAGTGGACACAGTGAATTTAGTAAACCATTATGACATTACTAGAAAGTGGCCAGCAGTTTCTTTTGGATTTTACAGCAACTGGCCAGTCAGAAAGCTCACTTCGGTAACAAATAATGATAAAGATACAAGGACTATTCCACAAAGTAACTTATCACTAAGGTGATCGTAACTCGCATACTTTAACATTGGCCTTCAATGGTTGCATCACTAGGACTGAATTGTGGGCTGGACCCAATGTTACAGTGTACAAGGTCTTCGCCTTGGGTCTGTTCCCCAATATGTAGCCCCTGTGAAGATCCAGGTTAGAATTGGTCTTCAGTAACCCATGCTTGTTGTAAGAAGCGACTAATGGGATCGGGTCATCAGGCTTGCTGACTTGGTTATCCCAGTATGACCCTGCTCTAGGAAACTATATTAAGACATCTGTGACTGCCATACTGTAACACCACATGGAATAGGAGCCAAATCTCCTGTTTTGCAGTTATTAATAAGACCTGGTCCACATTGCACAGCCAATAATTATGATCAATAACTAGACAGGTATGGTTTGGAAATTGTTTTGTTTGTATGTAAAAGTCCAGTTTTAATGTTGGTAGAAATCATCTCATTATTATCTGATATTATCCTCCAATACGACACCTAGATGTTATATGGTGACACCTCCATTCATGGTATGGTAATGGGTATTTCCAATGGCCAATCAGTGTCAAGGCTTCCTAATTCCCATAACAGATAAGTGAGGTATTTAAACCAACAGTCCTGATTTCTGTAACTTGAAAACTCAAGAAAACAAGTTCCCAAAGTATTTTGTATATATTACCATTATTATGTACATTATTTCATACATACTGTCTGAGCAACCTTATCATCTACACTTAACACAGAATACCATCAAATGAGTTTCTGATCATTATTGCAAATCTATATTTCAAAATCTAGGTGGTTAGAAAATAATGCCTGATGATTTTGGGAAGCAGTCAGCTGATAGATTCACCAACCCAAACAGCTTTCTTTCAGGTTCAGTAGTGGAAATTAATCATAGTTTGCCAGATACGACCTACCCTAGAGATGTCATCAGATCTTTGCACTGAGGGATATTGTATCACAGGTAAAGATGTCATTGGGATCAGCTAGGGTAGAAACAGGATTCTTATTAATAGGTTTGGTGGACTTAGATTCAGAGCTTGCTTTAGGAATTGTCAAAGAGAAAAAGTTATAATTAAAGAGTGATGATAAGTATGTTTTCACATCTGTTAAACAATTATTATTGAATAATATGGAGCTTGATTTGTGCAATATGGTTAATCATTGATGTTCTTTTATGTGTCCAGACATTGGAAACAAACCATTAAACTGCTGTTAGAAGTGATCACATATTTCATTGTGATTCTGATGTTTGTTAGGACTTCATCATGATGTAATCCAATGTAGTACTTATTCATCAGAGTATCATGCCGTTTTCTGTGTACATGGATAGCAACTGTCAAATAAAATACATCATGTTATGAATTTGTGTTGTTGAAGTTGCACTATTCAAAGTAACTCTGGTCTTGATGTTTTTTAATTGGTTACATTTATTTTTAATATTATAAAAATTTCAATATGATGAAAGCTGACCTCAGTTTTAATTGTTAATTTATTTTTGACTCAGCTTCATGGCATATTGAGTAAACAAAATTTGTAAAAATTAAAAAGTATGTAGTCTGGAGTACGTACAGGTATGATGAGTGCTGTTGACATCAGGAGATAATACTAGTAACTCAACAGCAGGAGATAATACTAGTAACTCAACAGCAGGAGATAATACTAGTAACTCAACAGCAGGAGATAATACTAGTAACTCAACAGCAGGAGATAATACTAGTAACTCAACAGCAGGAACTGGAGCACAGCTTGCATGGAGTCCAGAGGAGAAAAGGACAGGTGTTGACATCAGGAGATAATACTAGTAACTCAACAGCAGGAAATAATACTAGTAACTCAACAGCAGGAGATAATACTAGTAACTCAACAGCAGGAGATAATACTAGTAACTCAACAGCAGGAACTGGAGCACAGCTGGCATGGAGTCCATAGGACAAAAGGACAGGATAGTTGGCAGGAAAAACAGTGCATTTTTCTTTGTTTTTGTTTAAACCTATAAAATGTTTAAGGAAGACAATAATTATTGTTTTTTGAAAGAAATTAAACCCAGTTGCTTAATTTTTTTATTATTTTTTAAAATAAAATTGAGTCACAAATGTACAGAAATTGAATTCATTTTGAATGAAAGATGGCAGCTTAATGTTAGGGATGATGTTGAACCAATGAAAAACTTTGAATGCAACGCTGTACGAGGCTAATAATTCTTGTAGTTAAATAGTTTGGTCACTTCAAAAATGCTAAAAATTAGGGATGTCGCGATACATAAGTTTCGTGAATCGATACATATCACGATACCCATGTCATGATTCGATACGTATCATGATACCTATTTTCGCAGCATTATTGTGTAAATTAAGTTACATTTTGAACATTAATATTTCATATTTTATAATTGTCCGTGAAAAGATCCAACATTTTTTATTCTCAGACATTAAAAAGTTTTAATTTCCCATCTCTGCATGAAAAATAATCATTAATAGCTCTCATAGCATAACAAAACATGATACAATTGCAAAATGTAAACAATACATAAACATATTTAAACCGATACTTTCAAAACTAGATATCGATAGAGTTTTGAATGTATCGATAATTGTACTGTCTTAGAAAAAGTATTGATGCATGCATCCGTGGCATCCCCACTAAAAGTCCTCAGCCTAGTTTCTTGCAGAGGTAAATTATTAAGTTAAAAAGAGCTTGGAACTATTCCTGTGTTCTTCTTGCCAAGGTTGATGACTTGTGAACCAGAAACACCAGCTGAAAGATAATATTCTGCAGCCTCAGCAGATCAACAAAGCCCCATCGCCCTGACACCGAGATGAGGGGTGTCATCGTGTGATACTGCTAAGCACCCTAGCTGATGCCTGTTTAGACAGGGTGTTGTCATCAGCAGGGTTAAGCAGATGGGGAATTACAGGATGAGTCTGCTGATGCTTTACACACACACTTCTACACATGATCAAATAACAGACTGTCAGAATAAACTGGAACCGGATTCCACTTACCATTATCACCTGTAACTGTTTGGAACCAGAAATAGTATTTGGTTCTTTGAAAACAATTGTCCTGAAGTTTAGAACCACGTGTGTGTAAGGCTTTGGATGTATAGTGTTCCTTGGAATGTACCAGTAATTCATTGTTTCCATTCTTTTTCAAATTGCTCAAACTGTTAAAAAAATCAATATTCCCGTGGGAAAAAAATCACAATTTTATCATCAACTTGTAAGAATCGAACTATATATAGATTACTTATGTTTCTGAACACTGTGGAAACTACATAGTGTTTTTTAAGTGTAATGAATGTGTCATCGATGTTCTTAGGGTAAAAGAAAATTTTGGCTATCTGGCCATATTTCTGTTTCAAAAGGTATTACTTGACAAAAATATTTCATGATCTTAAGAAATCTCAACTAAAAGCCGACATTATATTAAGAGCATGTTCATTAGTCCCTATCAAATACTGCAGGTGTTCGCAGAAAGGTCAGGTGAGTAACGGCCGACTTGACTGCAGAAACACCATTACTGATGACATTGGAAGTGGAGTGAAAGTTATGGGAAATCTACCTAATACCTTTGTCCACTTGGATGGGCTATCGCTGGATACAACGAGGTGTAGCTGACTTGACTTACTCCTCAACTACAGACACTTTCTGCAGAGTTAGAGAATTGTTGGAGAGACTGTCGGTGAAGATTTTCGGAGTATCTACAGAGCGTATTCATCTGGACAGGCTATCGCAGTTGCACATAATTTTGTGACGCACGTCGACCTGGCCGGTGTCCACTTGGGTGTAGGTCTGTGGGTCAGATCTACATGAGCAAAGGATATTAGCCCCTAACCTTGGTATGACAACAAATCATCATTAGTAAATAGTAGATATCTACTGGCATATTTCTTTCATTAATCCATACCAACAATAAGCTGATAAACTATGATATAAACTACATGGCATTAAAACAGGCATTAAACACAACTCCCAGACATTCCAGTCTCAGATTTAGGGTAAATTATTACCCACAGGATTAGAACTAACCAGGGCCTAGATTTTCGAAGCTCTCTTAGCGCTAAGATAGTCGTAAGTTAATGTTAATATATGGCACTTACGACTATCTTAGCGCTAAGAGAGCTTTGAAAATCTAGGCCCAGGTTCGTAAAGATCGTATGTGCATTAATGCACTAGTACGTCATTGCGTCATCCGGGCGGCATTGTTGACGTTCCGATTCCTATTAGTGCTACGTAAGGACGAAACAATATTTGATAATTGTTGACAATATTTGATAATTGTGTTTTTCCAAGACATCAGTCGTGACCAGTGCACATTTCTAAATGCGAGCTCAAAGAGGATTTAGAAATGTTATAACTATAATACTTGCTCGGGAAATACAAGAATCCTTACACTCATTTCGCAATATTTGTATTACACATATGCTCCTACAATAATCTGTTTGGACATGTGGGCACAATACCCGTGCTTGTGGGTTTCACCAAAGTTGTGAGATCTAAGCATTGTTTATGGTGCCACCTGGTGGTATACACAGCAAACAGATCAAAGAACAGGTGAGTAGATTAAATAGGTGATTGCCATCTGCAACTTGTCCCTTAGCCGAGAGTCTAGGACTTCAATCTTACAGCACACTGAAGTACATGTAAACCGTGGTGTCTCGTCAGGCAAAACACTTCGCGCCTCTGTTCACCGAGCAGTGAATGGGTACCCGATAGGATGAGATGGTCATGTGGCTCTTAACCTTCTAGCTTTTTTGGCAGTTTGGTTTGTATATTCCCGTGGGAGCTGTAAAGGAACATCAAGGGTACACTGTTCCACTGATCGAGTTAATAACATAGCGCTTTATCACACTTCACACTTTGTTAATTTTGGCGCTATATCAATATGCATATCATCATCATCATCATCATCATCATCATCATCATCGCGACTGGCTTTGCTCCAACACCAACCTGAAACGATCAATATGACTGATATAAGATAATTACTGTTCAAAGCGGCGGTAAACCACACTCACGAACAAACACACAAGTACACAATCAGTGCTGGCGGAAAATTGACTTTAACACCCAGTGAACTGCATTCATTTCCTGCTCGCGATTACTGGCCTTCTTGGAGCAAAGTGTCAAATTTTTCAAATACCACTCGTTGTCCAATGATGTTTACAAAAACCTGGTCCATTTGTCCCTATCTCTATATTACACGTCCCTACCCCGAGAACCGTCTAGCCAGAAACCCGAGGTGTGAATTCCTGATCGCCACACAGGTAGCGATGGTATTTCCACGTCGTGTTCTAATTACCCGGAAATGTGGAATGCGCATGTCCAACATTTATGGAACCTTTGGCGGAACATGATCACAAAAACGACTGAATGTCTGGCCTGCCTGGAATATTTACGGAAGTAAGACTATTTGATGGAAACCTTGTCGTCTTTATATGTTTCGGGAGGGATTTTCTTTGATATGTACGATTTTCTTCTGCGCAAACGTTTCGAAGCAACATTGATGCGTAGTATTTTGCTAAGATTGGGGCCAAATTTTCAGCATTTGCAGGGTATATGTTTGCGTTTTGATAGCATTTATTATTGCTTTTGTATAGATGGTAACCTTCTGTGTTGAACAGCGCACCTGTGATAGTTGAATGGTGCATCTACATTTGAAGTTGCAGCTTTCATTACCACACATGGCGGGTCAGACACAGGCGCCGGTGTGATGTGATTTGATACCGAGGAACTTGTAGACGGTAACACAGCTTTAGATGAGGAAATGGGGTTTAACTCCGCGTTCATGATGATAAGTTAGTAATAATAATTCATTCATATAGTACCTAGCATCCATCTGACTAGTTGGGGGCGGTGGGGTAGTCTAGTGGTTAATGCGTTGGCTCGTCACGCCGAAGACCCGGGTTCGAATCCCCACATGGGTACAGTGAGTGAAGCCCATTTCTGTTGTCCCCCGCCATGATATTGCTGGAATATTGCTAAAAGCGGCGTAAAAGCAAACTCAGTCAGTCAGTCAGTCTGACTAGTTGCTCACTGGACGCTGTAACCA